AGACACTTGCCAAGCACTTAAGACGTGGGATCTGTGCCACATGTAGGCTCCGCCCTTCGCATGTGTGGACCCCATGCTCATAAGGCTTTGCCTGAGCCTTCTGTGAGAGCTTTCGGAACGTCTTGGTCTGGATTCCTGAATGGAGTTCTTATAGAGTCTGTTTGCTGAACAGGGCTACCCTACAGTTCTTTACGCTGACATGCTCTGTGGCGCTGCATGTTTTCGTGGGGTGAACATGACGAAGGAGCGGGGCGAGTCCTGCTGGCTGCCTGCTCAGTGGCCAACGGAGCACACTTGAGTGACGCGCAACAAACTGTTGCTGGTGATGTCAGCCCCCTGTGAAACTACTACTGCAGCTGTTGTGAATCAGAAGGGCTGCAGGCATGGAAAAGGGATCCAGAGCTGAGTTTGCCAAAGGGAGACATCCATGTAGTCACAAGCAGGTCCGAGGGTTGGGAGTCACTACAAATTTACAAGCTGCTCCAAGCTGCTCATCCATGCTGTCAAGTTGGCCGGTTGAAGGTGGGATTCTTTGCCATCCTCATACACAGTCAAGAGAAAGTGGGCTGACATTCAAAGGCCTGCTGGGAGCTGACAGAATGGAATCTGCAATTGCACCCTCAGCAGGCTACACAACTTGGTTGACAATGAGTTGGCCTTTGACAAGGAGGGGGGTTTCCGCCGAGTGAAGGCCAGGTGCTCCTGCACATCTTGGCAAAACATGGTCATGTCCTGATCACTTACTGCGCAGACGCGTACGCCTCCACTACCGGACTCCGGGGCCGCGCTCTCAGCATGCAGCATCTGCCAAGTGTTACACGCGGACGCATTGCTTGCGGGAACTGTGGCATTGGTTACCAGGATCTAGATGACTTTCTCTCAACTCTGGCAGCAACAGGTGATGCACCCCGGCTGCAATTGGGTGGCTCGGCCTTGGCCAGCTTATATCCTCGCTTGACGAACAAAATTTTTGCGGGACTTGCAGCAGTCAAGTCTGCAGTACAAGGTACTGGCGTTGAGCCGTCAGCATCTGAGCTATCCAGTCAAGCATCCTGCATGCATCTGTGACCCTTCAAGTCAAGCATGCATTGGGGCGGACATGCGCAGGCCGTACATCAGATGACCACGGGTCCCAGTCAAAAGGCCTTACGCATTCGTACAAGCAAGTTTTGGGAAATGTCCCTGCCATGTCGACAAGTGATAGGTCTAGGTAGGTGTTGTGATGAGAGTACCGGTTTGCTGCAGTTCTTTCACAAAGCAGGCAAGAGGCTCTTTGTTGACTTGCATGCTGAATTGCGGACCTGGCCAGAAGCACTGGAAGATCTCGAGTTGCTGCACATGATCTACGTTGAGAATCGCCGGGCATCTTAGCTCGGCCAGTTGAAAGCAATTACAATGAACTGAACCATCATCGCTGGGCAGCCTTGAAAGCTTGCACGCTTCATTTTGGTCGTGGGGGGTGGGGGGGGGGGGGGGGNNCAGCCTTGAAAGCTTGCACGCTTCATTTTGGTCGTGGGGGGTGGGGGGGGGGGGGGGTCACGACTTGTGACGGCCGCTTCCAGTCAGGAATGCCAACGACAACACCTGCATAGAAAGGCTGCCCTAAATGCCGAAATGATCCAGAATGTGCTGTGCCAGACCAGCTGCACGTTCCCAATGAAAGGCGAAGTGATAGCCTCATTCCCATCAAGACCCCGCAATTCCCAGCAATGACTTTGCCCTTGGATGTGGCGTAGGCCAAGGTGTAGTGGAACTACTTGACTTGAAGTATTTGAGTGTGGCTCCGAACTCCTCAAGTCACGAGCGAGGCCTGGGTCCATTTTTCGTTGAGCTGAACAAGGCTGGAGTACAGTGTATCGCACGTGGTGTAGAATGTTGGGAGAGAGGATGAGATTGACTTCAGAAAAGCCATCTGCCATTCACTGACAGACAGTAAGCCCACTCTGGCAGTGAAGGTGGCAAAGGTCGGTCTCGTGTTGTTCCCTGTTTGCAGGTCCTGGCAGAAATCCCCTGGGAATTACTGCAGGCGTGGTGGCTGCGTAGAGTTGTCAAGCGCTACCGTAGCGCTGCGAAGAATCACTGTCTGCACCAATTGCATTTCTACCGTGTGAGAATGATCACTTGCTCCTATGAGCTACCACTAAACGATTTCACTGCATCATGTTTCGTCCTAGGACTCTCTGCCGCTGCGCAACTTTGCAACAAGCGGTGTCAGCTGCCGGCCAAGGCAGATGGATAAGTCCAATGGTAGTGAGCAACTTGACAGCTTCTGGAAAGCTGCTCACAGAGTGAGTCAGTATGTAATCCCAGTTTCCATTTCATTTTCCATTTTCTTTTCCATTTGATTCTCCATTATTGGGGTAATCTAAATATAACCCCTAATTTTGGGAAACCCATAGACTTGTCGGACGAGAGCTGAGCTCGACAGAATTGCACACAGCAGCCCTGAAGGGTCTCCCGCAATGGGAACACTTTCTACGGCAAAGGCGAGGATGCGCACTAAATGCGGCTCATGCCAAGAGTTGTGCGTGTTTCTCTGGTTGGGCCACATTGCATGCGTGTACAGGTCAGGGACAGGATTGTACAAGAAGCTTAGCAGCTTTAGGGCAAGAATCAGGTCCCAGCAGCTATAGGGTTGAACCATGCTTTGAGAGATGTACCCAACAGCGCCCGGGTGCCAGGCCCTTTCTTGAAGGAGCCAAGCTTCTATCAAGCAGCAAGCAAAAGGGAGCCCTAGCCTCAGCAAACTTCGCTGCTTGAGGCTTCAGTGCTTCCTTGCAGCAAACCTTCCAAGCAGTCCGGCGTTGTAGTGTGAACTTCCTGCAGCGGTGAGCTTTTCCACGAGGCTTCAAAAGTTCCGCGAAGCACGAGAAGCCAAGACAAAGGCTGCCAAGGATGTGCAATCACCAAGCCAATCACCAGGCTGGTGCGGCTTGTGATGGAGTGGGAAGCATGGGATTAGGGAGTCTTGTTTCCTGTTCGCCACGCTATGAAGGCGCAGACAAACCCAAGAAGTTGCGGCGAGAGCCATCTGGGAGGCGCGGGAGCCCTCACAAAGCACTAGCATAGGTGTGTGGACATCTCTCATGAGTTGTTTCGGAAAGGGTACTTTGCTGTCGATGGCACCTGCAGTTCAATGGATGTTTTCAAACACGAACGCCAGGTTCGACAGCCAGTCCATCATGAGCCCCGGCAGCCTTGCCAGCCCTGCCAGCCCCGCCAGCCCATCCTCACGAAGGATGTCGCGGAGACTGTCACATCAAGGCCTCATGTGGACTGTGACTGGAGATTTCGCAGCACGTTTCAATGCACGTGCTGTTGCTGTACTATCCGTCTTCGGAATAGAATCCACTTTCTGGTTAGGCAGCCGTGCCACTCTGGCTAAGTCCAACTCACTGCCAATGCTGGAGTCAGAGGCAGGACTTCACATAATACCTTCAACGGCTGAAATCAGCGTGGAGCATGCTGCGAACCCCACTGTTGCAGTTCGGACTTGAAGTGTTGCAATTGTCGCCCTTTGCAGCCTGATGATCCGTTCTCCCAAACATCGCCTGAGCCTTCGCCTTAGCAGAAGGCGCTTGAGCCGGTCGAAATGCTCTACACCTAGTTACAACCCTGGGAGTATAGCATTAAGGTTTGGCTGGGATGAGCTACAGGACATGAGCCGCCAGGAGCAGCCGTGGTGAAAAGCAATCTCATTTGCACAAGTGTTTGCCCTGCAGGAGAGCATGCGCTACGACAGGCGGGGTCTGCTGTGCTGTAGGCCAGCTTTGCATGTTTAGAAGCCAGAGGGTCATCCTTGCCCACACATTTCATCAACAAGGTGCTGCAGAACATTTCAGAATCTAGATGAAAACGTCCTTAAGCTGATCAAGCAGTTGCTTGTCGAGGCTTGCGGCTTCCCACTACAGTTTCTTCGCCATGCGGATGTCCAAGAAGGCCTTGCTAGGGAAACTATGCAGTCTCATCCGTGTTTGCACCTTCACCTTTGCAGAACGTGGAATGCTGCGTGTGAGCCATAGTCTAAACTCCTTGAAGGGGATTATTTTGGGGCTTACTACGGGGTTGCTAGGTGTTTAGACTATGGCTCATGTGAGTGATGCTAGGACCTGGCGCCCTGCGAAAAGGACTACTGGAAACGAATGGCCCTCAAGGCCTCCACTTTTGCTTGCTGGCTTTCTGTGCCCGGCTGTTTTGAAGTCAGGAGAAGCGTGAACTGGGCCGACGAGCTCAGCTGCTTCCCCCTGAAGTGTTCGCAGCACCACGGTCCAGGCCGCGTGCAAGCCGTTAAGCTCCGTGTGGCAGGGAGAAGTTGCCGGCAAGTCTGTGCTTTGAAGCTGTGCATTGAAAACGTAGAACTGGCACACAGCACCTTCCATTTGCTGTTTGTAGTGCGCAAGCCTACGAGTAGGGTAATGTCGAGACTCGAGGTCTGCTTCCATCTGAAAACTCTGTGGGCAAATCTACGGTCTGAGCATGACTGAGCTACCCCCTGTGAGAATCACCGGATTAATTCTTCCACTTTGCGATTCCCTGATCTAAGGACTAAGTGGTGCTGCTAGATCCTGCAAGATACGGGAAACCATGCCCTGGAATTGAGCACCTGCAAGGCGGTTCGAAGACCTGCCTGACGAAGGTTCGACGTCAGCTTCTCAGAATCATGGCAAGAGGGAGGCTGGAGACGGCGAACGAAGTTGAGGGAATGAACAAGCCATACCTGAAACTCTCTGAGGTTCAGCAGCCGAAGCTTTTGGCTGAGTACGCCCGACGCGCATGGGCCTCAATTCCTTGCATCAGAGTTTCTCAACTCTCAATCGCAATGTCTTCACAGACTTAAGCCATTAGCAGCGTTGTCGTCTAGAGCAGCTACAAGAGATTCCTTTGGGTAACAGAGAGATATTCAGGTACATGCGCTGCTTGTGAAAGGTTGCCGACAGGGCTACTAGCACTTGTGTTGTGGTCTTGGGTAGCAATTGCAGATCATCAGCTGGTAATCAAGGATGTCGGCAAGCCAGTCAATCGAGCGCTTGCCTTCGCTGCCTCCCCCGGGCTTGAACGAGCCCTTCCGCGAGGCCAGGTCAGACAAGCAGAATGAAGAAGGGATTTAACAAATCATTGCTTCATTGTTTGTGCTGGAAGCCAACACATTCAAGGCGTGAATGCAACCCTGGCCAGCTTGCAACTTCAGGACTCCGCCGGAACAAAGAGAAGCAGGCCGCAAATCATCATGCATTCAATGCATTCAAATCTGAAGCTTGCAACTCCCGATGGTCTTTCTGGTCACTGGGCTTTCCTATCAAGCAGAATCCAAAATCAAACGATGGGTGAGAGAGACCAAGAAAGAGAGCTGACGTTGTCCCTGCGCTGCTGACGGGAGTGATGCTGCCGGGGCAATGATGGCAGCTAGTGCATAACTGGCAGTTCCACAAGCATCCTTTGATGCGTATTCTTCCGCGCGAGGCCTATCTCGGAGCAGAAGCACAGCGTTGCAGCTTGCCTGAAGGGTTGAGAAGCTGCTTCCGCAGAGCACGAGATGTAGGAGGACGAATCAAGCGAGACATCTTGTAGCAACTGCCAGCTAGCTGGTTTAGCTCTGGAGATGACGTGGGGTCTTGCAGGATTGAACAGCTTTGCAATTTGTGGATGAGCCTCATGCCGAGGGCCTTGCCTCCCTCATGATGAAGCCTGCGGAGAGGACGGAGCACATGGAGGCTGAGGGCCCTAGCCAGAGCTCGACTACAGTTGGCTGACCCAACTGGTTGTTAAGAATATGATCAGGCTGGCAGTTGGTCTTCGTTTGGTTTAGTGCACTTGGTGAAAGGGAAGTGTCCGCTCGCTGCACAACGCTCTGAGATGACTTGCTGATCTGGCATGAGCAGTTCGTCAGAGGTGTCGTGCAGGATTCAGAGCAACTCCTTCAAGCTATCAAATTTGTTTCCCATGCTGGCAGGTGGTGATGCGCGATCTCTGCGAAGGCTTCCAGGTCTGCATTCTCGGCGAGCCTGCTCCGCAGGCCAGGAACTTCAACACTGCTCGCTGTTTTCGGTGTCAATCTAGGGCTTAGTCACAACATGTCACAACTGCAGAGTAGGGGAAAATGAGCCTTGCTCGGCTTCATTAATAATTGGGCCTCGCGGCCAGGGCAGAAACCCGTTTGCAGGGCCCGGGGATTATGAGAAACGGGGGCATCGTCTTCGTCATTGGGTCCATGTTTCTGACCCTTCTCCGATACGCTCTGTCAAAAATCCCGATCACTGGAGCCAGACCACACCAGGAGTGCAGGTCGGCGGCGCTGCAAGCCAACTACAAAGCCTGTCGCAACAACCCTACCCCAGACCCGTAATTAATCAGCCCCCTCCCCTTTATTGAGGCCTTCAAAAGGAGGGGGTTTATTAATCATGGGTCTACGTTAGCAAGTGAACAAATCAGAGTCCCTGGCTCATTCCGCAGACCATAGCAGCGTGCGGGCGCTTCCTTTTTGGTATGCAGCAGCGTGATAGAAAAACCTGTGCCAAATTCGATAGGTATGGTTTTAGGGGTTCTAGGGTTTCAGGGTCTAGCGTTTAGGGGTTTAGGGTTTAAGGTTTAGGGTTAAAGGGGCAGCGGCCTTCATAGTCGGAATCAGCATGGTACCCAGGTGGTCCGTGTAGGTATAGTATTGGTATGGAAGGCACCTGGAACTCCATCCAAACATTTTGGGGCCGAAGAACATAACTTATGCACACATATATAGGCAAATACTATAATATGCATGTAGACATGCATGTATGTTCTGTATCTGCAGACGGGCCTAAATCCTCAATCCTAAGCATCATGAGCCCCATCTAGATGGGCACAGTGAGACGGATCAGGTCAGTTTCTTAGCACTGCTGGCTGGGCAGCAAGTTATAAGTTATTTGAGAGGAGCGCCTCGCATTGTCACCAAATGATGGGGACAATCCCCGGCACTTTGTGCATGAACTTGTTAGGGGGATGAAAGAGGAGTGCCTGGCGCCGTGCATTGGAGTTTATTTTCATGCTTCGGTCGGACAATTGTGACTAGCCAGTTCCAGACCCCTTCCAGACCCTGCTGCATCGTGCGCCTACAGACCTACATCCCCCATCCAGCCTTGTGTTCCATACCTTATCAGCGCACCTGTAGACTCTTCCATATCCGTTACAGATCACGAACATCGATCTATGAGCTCCATTGTCATGCGACCCTACAGTACAGATGGCGAGGCCTCCCGCAAGGCGGCGGCCGTCTTGAGAAACGCTCACACACGAATAAAGCCGGAGTTCTGGGTCGCCTATTTTTTCTCTGTGTGTTGCACCCATTCAATTGCCTGGCATATGGTGGGGGCACGTGGTGATCGCCCCGCGCAAGACAGCCGATGTGAGTAGTATTTTATTTGGGGATACTATGGTACCCAATATAGAGTAAGATTATATCCTCCTTTTGGGGTATAGTATTTCATATACGGAATATAATATTACTGGGTTTAACCACCCAACAAACGAGACTCATGTGTTGCGACTCAGCTGACTCTTCTTTAAATGCAGGCTGCAGGCTCCTCCGTTATTCTTCAGCTCCCCCTCATGCTTCATGACCATGAAACAGACAGACCCCAACCTGAGAGGACCCCAACAAGGCCTCACATGCCGCGTCTCAACAAAGCATAATATTTTTGTGGTTCTTGTGCGTCGTTCAGCCAAGTTGCCAGGTGCCGCGAAGCATGCGCCTAAAAGAGCCGATGAAGATCAGACGGCGTCCTGGGCGGGAAGAGACCATGAAGGCCATTACATGCTGGCATGATAGAGGTTTAGCAGCTGGTTGCGCCCAGCGCCTGCAGCACGATTCAAGATGCGGGAACGAGCCGCTTGACATCTCGTTGCGGCGGACCAACATCACGTTTCGCCAGCCTCTTCTGTGCGTGCGCGCAGGTATACAACGTCTACTGCAACCTGCTGCAGTCAGAAGGCAGCTGCCAATCTCCATGGCTGACCTTGCGTCTGGTGGAGCCGATAGCGTCAGTTTTCAGCTTCGTAGCTTGTAGGGCTGGGTGGGTTGACTGGTTTTCGCACAGGAAATATCATTACAACATGGAGAGATCTTGAGATCATGTGGAAGGCCTTGATGCTGGCGGCGGTTTGCTTCCTGAGCTTCCGCCTGACAAGGATTCGGCATGGTAACCTGATGTAGAGCAGTAGCGGTAGCGAATGATGCCTTTTCGGATCACTTCTGTGTGAAATCTAATTTCGTTTGGTTTTCTCTAGACTCAAATGAGGGGCTGCTTAACATATGTGGGTTCAAGGTGTGGGTTGAAGGGCCTTTCCCAGCTGTTGTCACCTGCGCAGCGGCTAACACATTCACATACATTCACGTCTCGAGCTCTGGTGGCATGTTTCCAGGATAGCAAGAAGTCCAACTTGCACGAGACGAGGGCTTTTCACCATCCCTCAGTGAAGAAGGCCAATGAGCAGGCCATTTTGCGGACTGCTTTCACACCAGCACTCCTGAAATCTAGCGGGACCTGGGTGACGATGCCCACATGGAAGCGAAGTGTTCGCCCCCACTTTGTGAAGGCCCGGCGCCGGCAGCGCCGCCACGGGCAGCTCACAGAGGAGCTTTTCAGCACACTGATGCCGGCAGCAAGTTGCTGTTTGTTTCTTGCAAAGAACGATCCTGTAAGAGCTGTGGACTGCACGACGCGAGGTCTTGAGACCTAAGCGCCTCCATTCACCAATTCAGGTAGGCTGTCCCACTGCTGCAAGTAGCACAACTGATGCAACCAGGAGATTGCGCGAATCTCCTGGCCTACCTTGTTGCAGTGGGCATCTCGTCTAAGATTTGGATCTTGTAGGGAGTCCTTGGCATGTCGTGCGCCTGTCACAGGCTAAGTTCCCGTGGTTTTCTGGGGGCATGCTTGTTTCTCCCGAGAGAGTCCAGGGCAGAAGCCTGTGGCCGATGAGCCGCGACTGCTCAGGGAGGTTTGGTGCAATGCGCTTCTCGGAATGCCGCCTTGCTCCTATTCCAGCAAAAGCTGAATTATGAAATCTTTATTTTGCAAGGTGCAGCACCTTGAAGACCTGGCAGCCGACTTCAGGCGAGGAGTGTGCAAAGATGTTTTATGATGTTTTATTCTGTCGATTTTCAAAAACGGACTGGGCTCGTCTTCGGAGCCATGTACTTGTCCCAAACTTTTGGAAGCCCGTCTTGTTTTGGTTTGGGGAGCCGGTTCTTGCCATTCGCAAGTCCAATCTATTAGGAAATTCAGATCATTGAGTTGAGATGCCCCGGCAACCTTGCAGCAGCTACAAGGATAACCAATGGTTCACACTCATTGCTGGAGGTATCGCTCTGTCACCGCGGCGCTGAACCGGGCTTTGCATCAGTGGCGCAGGAAGCAGGCAAGCACGAGGGAGGATGCTTCACATCTGTTTAGTGACCTGTAGATGCCGTTGTGAGCTGCTTCGTTGCGCCCCAGTTCATGTCTATGAAACCGTTGCAGGCTACTCCACGTCAGCAGCAAGAAGGCGTAGACCTCTCGATGATCATTCAGTGGACTTGGCTTGCTCCCCGGGCATGACCTGAACTTGATGATAGGTAGTAGTTTCTTCTCACAAAGTAGCTGTGTGATAGAGCCGAGTACCACTTCAAAGCAAGGCATGCGTTGCAAATGTATACCCCAATACTGCCTCAATACGCTCCCTGCCTGACTGAAGCCCAAAAACTTTATGAGCCACCACAGGCCTGATGTGACCGAAGAGAAGATCGCTGACATGATGCTGTGGGAGCGGTGCTCAACAGAATGTTCTCTTTGCGTGCAGCAGGGCTGGACTGTTACACTGCCGGTGGACCAATGTGTCCTTCGGGAGACAGTAATTGAAAAACGTGCCATGTAGATCCTTTTCGAGACGCTGTGTTCTTGTGGCCGTGAAGCTCAGATCTTTGAAATTGAGCTGGACAAGTTCAAACAGCCCACGCCGCGGCTTATGGATTCCCACGATCGCCGAATTCTGGAGGCAGTGAGTCCGTTGGACTTCCTATCGTTTCCATGGGATCTACTCGTATTGGGAATCTCCCAAGGCTACGGTGTTTCTTGTTTATGAAAACCCCAAGAGGGAGACATTGAGAATCCCGGCTTCTGTTGCTTGTGTGTCAATAATCTCAGCAAACTTGGTATTTCGTTTTCTCCCACTACGGAATTAGCATCTTTTACTAAGAGTAGCACTCCATCAGCACTACTTCTGCTACTACTCCCGCTGCTGCTCCCCCTCCACCACATGTCCTACCAGCAGAATGATGTCCTGTTACAGTTCCACATGCTAACGTTCTGCTTGTGGAGTGTTGTTGCTGTAGGGCTGCAAACCAGCACGTAGTGTTTCTACAGCAAGTGCCTCAAACCCCCCGCCCTAACCCCTCAACTCTAAACCCTAATAGCCCTAAACCCGAAAAGCCCTAAAGCCCTAAACCCCCAAACCCCCTAACTCATCCTAATCCCTAAATTCCTAAGCCGCTTAGGGGGTCAGGCCCTCTTCCATCGTCTGGATGAGAACAACGTTGGCTCCTGCTCGGCCGAGGCTGGGTTTCCGGCAAAGCAGACTTTCACCATGGGACAATATGGGGCATTATGGGACATTACCAGGCAGTATGGGACAATATGGGACATTTTGGGGCAAGTTGGACATTGTGGGACAGTATTGGGCATATATACATATATATATATATGCTTGCCCCCCCCCGCCAAGATCTACGTTTAGAGTGTTTTTTCGCCAAATT